GTATGCATGGTAATCTGAAATTCCCATGAGTAACATAAGACTTTCCAAGATGCTGTAAGCATTGATGTGAGCATAAAAGGAGATTTATTTCTCCTCAGCAATCTCTGAAGCCGCCCATCGAAGCAAGGATTATAGGAATGGTATTACCGGTGATAGTCAAACGAGCATACAGAGAATCATAACCTCATCTGCATCGAATCTATCAGAAGAAGGGGGAGGATTAAGAGGAATTGTCGAACTCACAAAGGAAAACTTAAAGGCAGTGGACAGGCAAAATGGACCCCTGTCAGATTTTGGTAGTTTCGGGTAGTGGACCCTCCAAGTACACCGCAGCCCCAACCTTAACTTCCAATTGATGCGCTAAGTCCTGAAAAAAGCGCTTCAAACTTCCACCAATAACGCCCACTCAGTGGAAGTGGGCGGGGCTCGAGGAGTTTTGAAGCGCTCTCTTCAGGACTTAGCGCATGAATTGGAATGTGGGGTTGGGGCTACGGTGTACTTGGGGGGTCCACTACCCGAAACTACCAAAATCTGACAGGGGTCCATTTTGCCTGTCCGCTGCCTTTAAAGGTCAGCGGTTCAATCTGCTGTGTGGAATGAACCACTAATCTTCGAGTAATATGCATTTTATCAAATTATGATTGGAGCACAATGCTAGTAGACTGCGCCAATCACTTACTTGATCTACAGGAACTTACTTTGTGCTTATATGTAGTCGTAAACTAAAATCGGCTACCCTGTTTTAGAACGTCCACACACACACCGCCAGTCTCCACGGTTTCAGTGACAAAGGCACGTAATGCTTGCGTTTCGCCAATTATTATATCGTTATAATAGGCACATCTGCTTGAATGAGCGAAGAGGGCCTCTAACAAAGTATCCAAGAGTTCAAATAGCCAACCTTCAGCGGCGGATCCTTTGTCTGTCACAATGCTGTTGTGATGTCTTTTAATTCTCGAGATGAGGACCCGTGAGAATTGTAGGCGCGACGGGTTGAGCAATCGGTTTTGATATTGAAAATGTGAAACACAATTGCTCCTACTTGGATGGTCCACGCTGGACTGTGCAAAATACATGAGAGCGCAAGTAAAGTTCGTCACAAATTCATTGGGGTGGGGGATGCCATATGACCTGTTAGATTTATGAGCGTATTGTCCACTCTCACTATAAGCTATCCGTGTCGCATGAACTCTGTGACCCATTCTCAAATAGCTGCCAATCTGTTTCTAACTGTAGTACTGTCTCACTTGTACGGCTATCAAATTTCATAAATAGCGGCTATCTAACGATGCAATACTTCCTAATGTCACTACCGAGCCAGAAAAGGCCGAACTCTTGCCTTACTGCGCGGTTAAACACCTGCTGAGGATTTCCTTGAGATCGAGCTCATTTGACTGACAATATCACGATCCCGTACACAGCAATGATAATTGAAAGCGAAGACAAAACTCCATTGTGTTCCGTTTGAACAGCTCAGTTTATGCGAAAGAAACCACACTTGCCACTACTCCTTTATGTAAGAAAGATGAGCCTCCAGCCTTGACGTAGGCCCAATCAAACTCGAGAACAAATCATTGAAGTGCCTCGGAGCTGCTAGTAGCTTGCCAACAGCTTCTAATTTACTATATGGGACTGGCCATACTATTCTTGTGATTCCTGCAATTCCTGCGATTCCTGTGATTGCTGCGAGTCCCACAACTACGTATATGGCGAAAAAACAATGTATACCGAAATTCGCAAAGCGCTCCGTAGTGCAGCACATCGAAATTCGAGAAATCACAGGGATTGCAGGAATTACAGGAATCGTAGGAATCCCCTCCTGGAATAGTATGGCCGGGCGTCCCTATTGGTGTAATGTTCCAAAGTTACCGCCATCAATCATGGCGAGAAGTATGGTAATTTGCGCAATGTGCGCTTCATTGTCTTCGCCTCAGCCGTCATACTGGGCAATGAAATGCATGCTGACGTCAGGGCTGCTGTTCCCGAATCCTCTTGATCCCAAGACGGTCATGTCAAGCAGCTGTCGGCATTCGTTTGGTGATCTAATCCGATGAAAAATGATAATTCGACTACACGCATGACAATTGGCGAGCAAATTACTAAACTAAACATACCATCTCTCTACCAAAGAGTTGTGGTCTTTCGCCAAGTTTTGCCAGAAACTTACAAACCTTTTAGGCCAGAACACTTCAATCCTCGATCGTTGTGGTATCCTATGCAGAAAACTTTCTTTTGTAGCAATTCATCTCAAATGCCTACTCTTTATCTAAAAATTAACCCTTTGATATCTCATAACTTCCATTCTTCACATGTTGACGTTCTCCTCATCAGACATCACACCTAAGCAAGCAAATTACGCAAATAATGACCTAAGCCATACTGGGTAATCACTTCCGATCCCTATATTAGCCCACATTGTTTGCTAAGGTGTGCACTGCGCGCACATCCTGGCTGGCAGCTTAGCAACAACTGCTGCGACTGAAATCTTGAAAAGTTTAGAACATGGAATCTCTAAGCGTCTTCAGCCAAAAAATCGTGTAATTTTTTCGGCTCTGTTGCGGGTGAAATTAATATTTTCTTGGAACTTGCACGCATTCGAAATGCCCTTCACCTTTTCACACTCACTCAGTAAGGAAATTGATTGCACGCAATCTTAAATAACGTGAAATGCACTATTTTCTGAAAACGGCACTCTCTCCCCTCACTCTTTCCTCCTCTCCTCAAATCCATCGAGAAAAACCTGCATAACCCCCAAATTGCTCAAGTTTATCAGCTCCACTAGTGAGACTTATTCATTGACTCACCTTGCTCGCTATAATGTGGTACAGCATGCTGCACAACTATAATGCCTTGAAGCTGAGTGAAGTTCTGAGTACACATAAAAATCACACAAAGTGGTTGTACTTGGTGGCTTTTTCAGCTTAAAGAACAAAAGGAAAAGTGGATTAACGTCATCGTATTCTCGATTTTAGAAAGCATTGTAAATCTCTCTGTTTGCATGAATAGTTCTACAACTTCCAGGTATTTTTTGGAAACCGTAAAAGTTGTAGGAATCCACCTTTTACAAAGAGTTTGAATCACTGGGCGCCCACTGAGTATTACCGTCCATCATTGCTCCCGCACACCATAATCGAGGATGGAAATGCGATCCGAAAGGCTCTAAATCTCGCGACTGTTAGTGTCATTTGGCACCTGCGCAACACATGTCAATTATCCGAGCATATGTAGCCAGTAAACACACTTCTGGAATCACGAATATGGCGCATTTCAACATGCGAAATGAAAACGAATTAGTTTAATAAACGGGAATTGCTGCTCTGCCAGTTTTGCCACACACATTATTATAATCAAATTCTGGTACCATTTTTCAAAATAACTTTAAATCGGCACCGCTTCTTATCTTTGGTAATTTGAGGATTTGATGTGTCTCCAGTGCTCCCTCATGATTCCTTAGCTACTGACAATAAGCTCCTTAACGATGCGCAGGTTGCAGTTGTCAATTAGGGAGGAAGTGTGCATAATGCAATCATTGTGCAAACAACCGGGTGGCGAGCAAGAGGAGCGATAGCTGGTAGGTGTCAATAACTCCCCATCTTTTACCGTCATTTTTATCCATTAGCATGCAGAAATTCAGAGCATTTTCTTTTTTATGCTTTCATCCAGACAGGAATATCAAGATTATTCTGTTTGCTTGTAAAAAATGCATGAAAATAAGTCTGAAAATGCCAAAAAAGGTATCGAAGATGAGAATTCGAGTATTTCAAGTTTTTTAATAACATTAGCAAATTGCACTTATCACCGGGCTCTGAGCAGAAGTTATTGTGTAAATCAATTATTTCAAACCGACTCATTTTCATAAGTCCAAAATTCGCGCGATATGAGGCAAATACTGCTTTGGCAGCAGGGGCTGGCAATTGCTATCGTTCCTCTTGCACCACAGCCCAAACAACCACACCTATCATGAGGATTTAGAGATGATTGGGAGGTCCTCATAACACTTAAGGTCATTAGCAAAGCTATTTCTTGGGCTACTTTTTGCAAGAATTTTAAAGAATGAATGGAGGAAACCGTGAAGTTGTGAATGTTCTCTAACGATTTTGATAAACACTAATCATTTCAAAGACTCGCATATTTTTACCACTCGTAGTTTTATTTTATGAAAATCTATGTTACAACGGGCTCATTTTGGCGTAGCTCTAGTACCTTTTGAGAAATCACTCGCGAAGGAGATACTGAAAAGTGACTCATTTTCTCCGGTTTTTCTTTCCCTTTTTACCCTTCTGATTTTCTCTGTAACTATTATATTTGATCCGTATTCGTGTAGTGTCTCCCAGCTCCAGCAGTTCTTTTGATGAATCCATTGAAAAAAAATTGAAGCTGCCAGCTGGTCCGATATGTGCTCTTGGTTGGGCAAGGCTTCTCCTATTTCGTCGGCTTCCATTTGTGGTGGAGCTTGACCCAAACCACCTTAATAAGTTAATTGTAGCCGTCGAATAGGAAAATCTTTAAATTATCCTCGATTGCTTCTGTCGTTTTCCTTGATCTTAACCGACCTAAGTCATGTAGCAATGGGTATCGGTGGTTACTCTGTTGATCGAAAACTGCAAAAGGTTATGAATAAAATCGTGTTGTTGGCGGATTCCTATACCATTGATAGATGCCGATGTGTTTATAACCGAATAACATAGAAAACACACTCAGACTATCTTTGGATACATGACATCAAAAGCAAGGGCACTGATGGGGAGCTAACGGAAGTTTGAATTTTTGCGTTTTCGATCTGAGAAAATGAAGCAGACATAGCAGACTTTCAGTAGCATTGAGTTTATTTGTAAAAAAATTTCTAAGGTTGTGAAAATTCTCTTTCTACTAATGAAGTTCACAATATAATATCAGATTTATATTTTATTGCATATTTATTCATTCAAATAGACTTATAAAGAAAGCTTGATGAAGACTATGAGGACGAGATCACAGATGGTATACTATTGCAAGTCTGATCAGAATCCGACAATTCGAATTATAGAGGTTGCCCATGTGAAATTCTGTAAGCATCATTAATATACAAATAGTGAAATTTGCTGTAAGAAGCGTTTTGTGATGGCTACACACCTGCCTTTCTTCAGCGATGCCCGCGAACTCCTTATCAAACGTATCACACATCTCTACGAGTCGCCGAGCGATTTCTCGTGACCGGCAGTTTGATTTGAAAGGAGTGATGTAAGATCCTGGATAAGAAATAGCTCAAAATTGAGACGCACAAGCATACGGAATTGTAGACGTATATGGATTTTGAAGTTTTTACGCACACTATCGATATGAAAATTTTCAAGAATGTGTCCTAAAAGATGCGGAAAAAACCGTACAGTGGCAATGGTGTATGATTTATCACGCTTCGACTGAAAAACTTGACTGAGCAGAGGGTCTGATGATTTTAAAAACTTACCTGAGTACCGGAATGTGTGCGACTCAAATAGCTTTCGCCGTACTTCCGAATTGATATCAGGTTTTAGAGGTTTTTCTGATGGAGATTGTAACGACGATGGTGCAATTCCACCACATGGTGAGTTGTATCCACTGTCATGCATGACGAGCATCTGGAATAAATAAAAAAATATATCGCAGTATTTTAGGTAGCAGAGTTGTGAGAGCAATTGCATTTTTAAGGCTACTTTCAAAGTTATATTGTACTGACAACCACAAAAACCAGTGAAAATTTTTTATGCTAAATGAAGAATAGGCAGAAGCAGAGAGAAATGAATGCAGCTGGAAGCAATAGAGCAACTAATTGCTTTGCTTTCCTTGGTTTGCACTGGCTCCTCCCACTCAGCGGCGCCATGCCCCTTTCTACCGTAACCGGTCAGACCATACCCTCGATACATAGAGCCCCGTACTCTGGTAACCTTCACTTTGAGGGCTATGAGGGGACATAACCTTCACCTAAAAAAAATAACAGAAGTCATCCGGGGCTTCGCCCCCCCCCATGTTATTATCCTGACTATATCGGAACGAATGTTATAAAGCAAATATAGGGGATAAGATCTTAAGCTTATCTCAGCGAAACGGGAATTTGCGTTTTCATAGCCTTTTTTTACCTTAAAAAGAAGGTTTCTGTGGAATTTTTGCCGGAATTCAGGACAAAATTTCTCAGGTATCCTCTCATTTGAACAAGATCGAGTTTCAGAAATTTAAGAGAGCTATTGGAGTTGAATAAAAACGAGAAACTGCGCTTAAATCTTGCGCAAAGAGTCGCGCACGAAAACGCTGGTCTTTCTCATTAATGAATGATTTTCAAAGCTTGGGACGTTGTCAGTTCTCCTCGCGGTGTCATGACGATCAGAATGATATATAATGTTGCAGAGTTTCGTTGAGACCCCGCAGAGATCTACGACCAGAGCCAAATGCCCCGTCGGCTCTGGTCTGGCTCCGCTGCTCGTCTGCGTCTCCGCGCGCAGCGCGCTACCTCGCTACCCCATACGCGAGGCGCGGGGCATTTGGCTCTGGTGCCCTTTTCTTCGCTGTTTAGAACCCAAATTTAGCAAGCTATATATCATTTTGAAGCTCTTGATCTCTATTTTCATGCTGACAACGTCCCAAAACCGCATTTTTTGATTTAAACGAGAAATCCGGCAAAAACCTTGTTTTCGAAAATCTCTTGTTTTTCTCCTAGTTTAACTATTTTGGTGCGGTTTTTCCGTGCATTATATAGATCTTGCTTGTGTTCATAATGCAGACAACCACCCAGCTCTTACCTCTTCGATTACGGTGGAATTTTTTGCGAAAAATCGTAAAAATCTTTACCCTATTCTGTTTCAGTGCTTTCGCATCGATTTTTTTCGAGCTTGGGTGATTGTTGCTCAGAACAATAAGCGCAATAATCCAGACAACGTCCCAGGAAACAGGAACGTCAATGAGGGGGTAAAAGTTCAAAGGACGCATCAAAAATCAATACCCCGTGTTGCGAACTGCTGGTCCTGGAGAGAAAACTTGCACTTTGAAAAGCCGCCAAATGAAAGATTTCAAACCTCTTTGCAGCGTTTTCATCCGGTTTTTCAGCTCTTTTACTTTTTGTATCTGTTTTAAGTCATTTTCTCTTGTCTAATCTTCTTTAAGCAACCTTCACTATTTGTGACGTCAGATGTTCAAACAACCTTCACTTTTGACGCCCTGTCTCTAGACTATCGAAGGTATGGGTCAGACTGAGCTGATTGACTGCAACGCTTGAACTTAGATACATAAAACCGCAATAATGCAGGAAGATTTTCAAAGTTTTTTCATTGTAGTTTTCTTTGCCACTGCCTTTATCCGATTTTCAATGTTGACCATAAGACTGATCTGATTGTCGAGCATGGACTACTTTCAATAAGCTATTTATGTCAGTAAAAACGGTGCAGAAGACTACCTGGCTTTATTACCACTAATTTAATAAATGGAGACGTTTTTTGATGATTAGTGAGCAAAAATTCATCCAACCCTGCTAAAACTCCCATCCAACTTTGTTTTGCAGATTAATTTCGTTTGAGGGAGTTATCCAAAGTAATTTTCGATGAAAAATCAATGACTGTTGGTGAATAGAAATCTCAGGCATTCCTCAGAGGCACAAGTCTGAAGAACTCGATGCAGATTCGCAAAGCTAAGTTCAAGGTTACGGTACACACATGCAATGGCATACAGATTTCATCGCTGCGCTTCTCTCGAATGGGAAAAATATTGAATCCCATCATAACGCATCAAGGGTGAACATTTGCATTTTCTATCGACTTTCTAGCTCATCCACTTTGTAGCGCCTTTGAGTTTCAGCGCCACTTTTGCAAGGCGATTCAAGCGGCTCTAACTGATAAAAACTGTTCAACTGTCCCCCCTCCCCTGCCCCGAGTTTGGCAGTTTGATGAGAACGGTTGCTTACTTGCATGTCCTCGTCATTATGATGCTATAATGGAGACATCTGTGAAAGCGGACGAATTATCTCTTATGTAGATGAGACCGAGAGAATTATAATGTTGCTTTGCTTTCCCACGAAGCTTCGCTGACCTTCGGCGCTCCTTTGTCTGACACAATATTACGACTGCATTGAGTGTTTCTCGAACCGAGCTGCGAGCTGTATGTGAAGAAGACTAGAATTAGTAAGACCAATATAGTATAGTGATTAAGTACAGTAGGTTTTCGATAGCTTGGTTTGAAGAGATAATCGCTTCGACCTTTTTTATAGCTCAAAAACAACCATATTCTTCCAATGATAACTACTTCGAATGGCTTATACTGTTCACATTACACCTGTTGCCAGATTTCTTGTTCACTTGTAAGGTCAATCGTAATCTAATTTGAAACTAAGTCTTACCATAGTGAAGCTTTTTGTCTGTTGATTCACGAATGTGAATAACTGTAACCTGATACAGCGAAACAGTTTATTTTAAAACTCAGGAAACTGAAACAGCTACATGCTTCGCGACGAATCATCAGCACCTGTGTGAAGCCAAAGATTGAGCCGCTTTGATCCCAATGGGATCGTTGAGTTTCAGCTGTCTCAGCACAGAATCGGCACTTCTTTGCAACGCTGATTCATTGATTAATGGCTATGGGGCTTTGATCAAAACTTGACGAGGACGAAAAGCCCTTGAATAACTTTCTGTCACTCTGTGCATTATTTTGCAGTTTATGGAAAGATTCTTTAGACTTTGTAAGAACTGCAACTGCGTTTGCCTAATACAGTACTACCAAAGCAAGGTGCTAGATTATGCTGTGGCACTCAAAGTCGGCTTCTTTTGTTGCGAGCGACAGCTTAATTATTCACACCTCATTGGTAGCTCTTTGATGACGCGGCTATTCAGGATTGCGCCATTTCTCGTTCTGATTCAGTATGCAAATTGGTTCAAGTGGATAGCTGAGCATTCCTATATTTAGACAGTGTGAGTCGCAGAAATCTAATTGGAGGAAAGGGAGGGATAGAAATTTCTGCGATGAATTTTTGAATATGTTACTCAAATCTATATTCTGCTTTGGGTATCTGCTATGCGCTCTTCGGAAACAAGTTGTCAACATTTCTTGCTACCAAAATTTCCACTATTTTGATGACAGGATTCACCAATATTGTTGCCCACTTACGCTCTATAAAAGAGCTTCCAAATAGAATTAAGCTTTACGTTATGCTCAAGAAAACTATCTTAGATATATCAGAGTACTTGAAAGCCTGGATACTGACGATTCTTTTCCAAGATTTCTTGCAATCAATATGGAAAAGAGTCCATGACTTTGTTTAGAGAGTCGCATAGCAGATAGTGAACATAGAATTGGAACCAGCATTTCGAGGTGCATCTATTGATATACTGCCCGAGCGTCTAGAGATGACAAATTTTTGAGATCAGGTTAGGAAGATGCTTTTTGAGCGGTTACTTCCTTCGAATTCAGTAGAGATTTGATAAACAGCTGCTCTTATCAAGATCCAATCACGAGGGAAAAGCGTGACCAAGATCCTTCAAGAAAATTTGTTCGGTAGCATCGTCCACATAACTCAAGGGTCTATCATAAGGTCATTGTTATTCAGCTCATGCTCACTCGTTTACTTTCGCATGAACTCCGTGACCTCTTCTCAGATAGCTGCTAATTTGTCGCCAGCTCCTATATGGTTAAATGCACTATTTAACTTAGCAACTAGCAACTATCTGAGTGACGCAATATCTATCAGCTCATGGGATACCGTAAGCGAAATCACCAAACTAGGCTAGGCTTGGTTAGAAACCATTATCCGTCGGAAACCGGCGCTGACCTTAGCTACAGTATATAGCTAACGCGACCATAAAAGGCGACCTGGCTGCCTCTTACTTTTCCATTGATCTTACTTATCAGATGATAAAGTGGTCCTGTATTTGATATGATGTGTTGTTTATCCTCTGGGTCGTAAATATAACTAATCATTTCGCTATCCGTATTCAAGTAATGAATGGGGACCTGAGTTTGCTAACAACTGATGTTGATGGATGACGTAGAAGTATCATTTACGAAATCTTTTTGTTGTTAAGGATTCCAAAACAAGACTGTCATTGGTAAGGATGACTTCATCTCCCTGAACAATTTACACGTTTTGGGAAACAGAGGTTCTTCTAACTTCATCAAATAAAGCCCTTTTATCTTCTGGCGAAAAGTTATTGGGATAACTCGATAATGATAAATTCCATGAGATATCCTAAAGAAACATCAGTTCCTTAGTATTTGCACGTTATGGTATTTTGAGAAAGTATCCAAGATGAGGAGAATTTTCAGTACCTGGCAAAATTAGAGAGTAAACAAGACAGATGATAGTTTCAGGATCACCTAATGATGTGGTAAGTAAGATTTATATGTATTAAGTAAGATTCATGGCCAAAAGAAAGATAAGAGGCAGCTGGGTCGCCTTTTATGGTCGCGTTAGCTATATACTGTAGCTAAGGTCAGCGCCGGATTCCGACGGATAATGGTTTCTGGCTTGGTTTAGGTGATTTCTTGGAGCAATCTCCCGAGGTAACTGGTATATCCTTCTTTACTCTGATTTCATACAGTCATGAGTTGACCACACTTATGTACTATGTGTCCAAAACTGACCCGTATTGGGAATGCACGATTT